GTGAGGGAGTACCCAGAGCCACTTATCAACTGTAAAGGAGAGAAGCATAAATTTTTAACACCTAACACATATTTCTTAGTTTTAAATAAAATTTAATTTGCTCTAGTATAAAAGTAGATTAATTGCATAACAGCAGACATTTCACACCACTCTGTGGTTTGAGGGAAACCCATAGGCAGGATGGAATGTACACCACCATGTCCTGACACCTTACGTGATGCCTGCACAGAGCGCTAAGAGGTGTTATTTAATATGAATGAATGACACTCACTTAAGCCATACCTCTTAAAGATAAATGAAAAAAACTTTAGAAGCCAAAGTTTAAGGAATCCCACCTGCAAATTGCAACTTCAGCTCCTGTCCCTTCAACTCCTGCCCCAGCATTTCCAGCCTGTAGGCCTGTCCAATGGATTTGGACTTGCCAGTCCTCACAATCACTAGTCAATGCCTAGAAATAAATCTCTTCACCACACTCACACACTCGCAGGTACTTCAAAAAGTTAGTGGAAAAATAGAATTATGAATCTAGGAACTTTTTGAAGTATCCTTGTATACATGAGTATGTGTGTGCTACTGGCTCTGTTTCTCTGGTAGAACCTTGATTGATAAATGACTAATTAAAATCTTCTATAATTGCTACATTTTACCTGCACCACAAATGTTATCCTTGAAATCTATAAAACATCTAAAGTACAGAAAATGTAAGCTGGCACTAACAGAAGAGGTAGATCCTATCCATCCCCATATTAGACTGTGAACAACTCTATTTTGTTAAACACTACTTTAACATTTTACCCAAATCACTCTTGGGCTCTCAGCACTCCCTGCTCCCCACCCTGCTTTAACTAATTGTACTGTGCAGGTTTTTCACTCGTTTCCTCATGGAGACTATGAGAAGCTGGGCCATGCTACTGGGGACGTGCTGCCTGCTGAGCCTCTGCAGCAGAGTGCCTGCTCAGGAGCACAGGGGGCTGCTCCTGCCCTTCCCACACTGCGTGATGCTCAGGAGCAGCTGCTCCACACACCAGAGGAGAGTTTCCCTTGTCTTCTAAAAAGAAAAGCAAAATGTGGGGGACAAAAAAAGCATAAAATAGTAAAATACATAAATTAGTTTAATGTCCAAATTTCCTTACCTTCAATTCCAAAATATAAAAGTTCACAAAAACGAAAACTTTTCTAAGTATCTGCTGCAGATTATTAGTGGCAAAACCTGAACTGAATTCACATGAAGCTATTTATCAGGTTTATGTATTCAGCTCAGTGTGAATATTCATAGCTTCATTACAGAAATATTAATGTGTTTGATTACAGGTGCTGTCTGACCCTGGCCATAATGTTTCATTAAAAAGTTATATGCAATTGCATTAACTTTCTAAAATCAAATTCTGAAACATCTGGATCCAAGAGTTTCATGTAAGTGATTGTGAACCTATATTTTTTTTAAGTCTAGAAAAACACCAAACTCCAACTAGATCAACTATTACCAAGGCCAGACAAGGTTTTCTGAGTAAATTTTAATATTCAAAAGTAATAAAATATATTCTAAGTGCTGAGTCTGAGCTTCAAGGTAGAAAGCACAATTTAAATAAAGCTGAAGACCCAGTATTTGGGCAGCCTCAGAAAAGAACACTTAGCCCTCATCTACCTATCTTTGAAGACTTGTGCCTCAGGTATTATAAAGATAAACATTTCCTGTCTGTCAGGGATCATGTGTGAATTAGCCCCAGACATGCAACTGTCTCCTGAGGCAAGGGAAATACCAATTC